AGAGAGAGCAGCCAAGGTGCCAGATGATGCCATGCGGCCTCATCTAGCGGCCGCAAGAGAGAAGTCCCTGAAGCAGACCCTGGAGTATGGTGTAGGCTTCCTACACGAGGGCTTCAGCCAAACAGAGCGGGCTGTGATCGAGCGCTTGTTCGAGGCGGGCGCAATTCAGGTCTTAGTGGCCACAGAGCAGCTTTGCTGGGGCATGACAATGCTGGCACATCTCGTGGTCATCATGGACACCAAGAAGTTCGATGGCCGCGAAAACAGGTACGTTGACTATCCCATCCATGATGTCCTTCAGATGATGGGACGCGCAAGCCGACCTGGCATCGATCAGTCCGGAATGGTCGTGTTGTTGACTCAGAATTCCAAGAAGGAGTATTACAAGAAGTTCATCTACGAGCCTTTGCCCGTTGAAAGCCATCTCGATCAGCGAATGGCCGACCACATGAACGCAGAAATCGTGATGAAGACCATCGAGAACAAGCAGGACGCTGTCGACTGGCTCACATGGACGTTCTACTACCGCCGCCTCTCCCAGAATCCGAACTACTACGGTCTGCAGGGTGTCACTCACCAGCACTTGAGTGACCATCTGTCGGAGGTGGTGGAAAACACCGTAGAAGGCCTCGAACGCTTCGGCTGCTGTAGCATTGAGGATGCTCGGTTGTCAAAGATGCAGCAGTTTTTTTGTATTTGAATGGTTTCTATTCCTATGCAGGGGCCGAAAAGCGGGTATGAACTTAATAGGATGACAGACCTTCTCTGACTCTTTCCGTGTGTGTGTCTGTGTGTGTGTGTGTGTTTACTCTCGAAAATACAAGGACGATGTGGATCTGGCGCCGGCGAACCTGGGTCTCATCGGCGCATACTATTACATCAGACACACGACCATCGAGACCTTCTCACGATGTGTCGTTGGGCTGCATGTGTAGCTTTTGCTTCTTTCTCCAGGCTCCGTGTCGCTATGCCCTCCGTGGGTGCCTCAAACTTAGGTCAACGAGAGCACCAAGCGCAAGGGTCTACTGGACATCCTTTGCGCAGCCTCCGAGTTCGATGCGGTGCCCGTGCGATCAGGCAGGATGTGCTGAAACTGCAGCGTTCGGAACTTCTGCAGACACTTGGGGTTCGGAACTTCTGCAGACACATGGGCATCTAAGAATATTCGATCTGGGTTTCCAGGCGAGGGCGGCGAGGGCCAGGCGAGAGTGATGGCTCCCGTGCTCAGGCGAGGAGGCGACGTTGTACGGCTTGGCGCAGTCGCTGGGCATGAAGGTCGACAAGGACAAGTTGAATGATCCACACACGAAGGCGCAGCTGCTCCTCAACGCACACTTCACCCGCAGCCCGATCACCACAGACTTGTCCTCCGACCAGAAGTTTATCTTGGAGCACTCGGTGCGCTTGCTACAGGGGCTTGTGGATGTGATTTCCTCTTGTGGCTGGCTGACCCCGGCTCTGTCTGCCATGGAGCTGTCACAGATGGTGGTGCAAGCCACAACCTCGACATCGAGTCCCCTTATGCAGCTGCCCCACTTCACGCCCGCGATGGTGGAGAAAGCCAAGAGCCTCTGTCGCACGAACCGGTGAGAATATGTCAATGTGAGAACATGTTACTGTGGTCTTTCATGACAAGGGGACTAGGGAGGACCATCATGTCAAAGTGTCGGAGCCCGCTTGAATTCTGATGCTTCAGTCTATAGTTTAATCGCCGCTCAGGAAGATGAAAGTCGAAGACATCTTCGACGCAGATCTGCCATGTTTTCCTCGGCTTCAGAAATCACTGCTGTCTGCCTCGGTATATATATATATATATATATATCTCTGTGTGTGTGTGTGCGCAAAGTCCTGGCACAAGGGCAGCACCCACTTTCTCGACATGGTGTAGTGTAGCACACTTTCCACAAGTAGGTTTCGTTTCACAGGTTGCCGGGGCACCGCATCCATGATCCACCATGTGGAACCAAGCTCCGTCTGCGGATGGGATGCACCTGCGAGACGGATGAGCCCACCCTTGTGAACATGCGGAATAGAGGGTGGCCCCCCGTCAACAAGATCGGCTTTTATCGAATGAAGCCGGTTCCCCTGGTGGGGTTTCAGTAAGAACAACTGCAGCCCTTCGGAGCTGCAGCAGAAGTGCGAGGGCAGAGATGTTCGTGTTCTCCAGGGCATGCATGTGTGTACGTGCACGTGCGAGTGTGTTTGGGTGTTCAGGTTTGCATGTCAGCCTGTCTCTTGAATCATTTACAGTGTTTGATGTTTTTAGTTTTTTGTTTCTAGTGTTTGTGAATGCAGGCTCACCTCAATGTGTGTCTACGTGTGTCCACGTTGTCCCGGCTCTGCCGTGATCTTCACACAGCAGGTCATGGGCATGGATGATGGCCCACGTGACAAGCTGCTGGACGGTCTGTCTCAGCTGGCATCTCAGCATGCCCACTAACGGGGCAACCAGACTCGGATTCCCGCTTCAGGGAAGAAAGCCCTCAGTTCAGTCTGTGCTTGCGGAACACGCATATGTGGGGCACAGGTCGCAGCTCGCTGACGTGGCTAGAGCCTGCAATCGCTTCCCTGGCATTGCCCTGGAGTACAAGGCGTGAAACTGAGATCAACATGTCAAGGAAGTGATCGAGCTGTTGTGATGATTCCCCCGTCTCGCGGTCTCCTTGGACCAAGAAATTTTTGTTGAACGAAACCAGGAATAGCCGAAGGTCCGGCCGCTTCAAACAGTCACTGTTACGCGCATTGGTCATCATTTGGCACATCTCCTTGTCTTCATCGACGGGCGCAAGGTGCAGAACTCCGACGCGCTGACAGCTGGCGGCAGTGCAAAGATCTCGGTGAAGCTTTCTAGAGAAGCCATGGAGGACCGGTCAATGTTGTAAGGTGAAGGTGCAAGCTACTTGAATCTGGAAAGCCCGTCCGGTGGTGTGTTTGCCGTGTGTCTACTGTATTATTGGTCACTTGCTAGACTCCACCGAAATGCACTTCTGCCGAAGGAAGAAGGTGCCACTGTCGGCCCGGTGTACGCCATGTATTACCCGAAGGCTCGCTTGCGTCATCTTGCGTCGCGGGATGTGATCTGGTGCTTCCAGCGGCTGCCACATGCATTCACGGTGTCGATATTTCACGTGGAGAATGCCCGTTTCGTGAGCGTACGTATGAAGCTCCTTCCTGATGCCTCCGTGGCCTTGCTTTCTGGAACCTCTTCGCAAGTTTGCCGCGACGGACATCTCTCAACGCTTCCGCACTTCAGTCTTTGATCAGCTCTTGCACATGCCCTTAATGTCCTGGTCGCCAGGAGAAGGAGGAGATCTGGTGGCTGGTGGTTGGCGGTCCGAAGAGCGCACTGGCGGGGCTCCAAGGATTGGTGCCAACATGGGGCGCTTGCGAGCGCGATCGGAGGGTTTTTTCGACTGTCGAAGCGACTCCGGGGCGCGACTCCTCAAATCACACGCCCGAACTCCGAAGTCTGAAGCTCTAGTCCTCGAGTCCTCGTGCCGAGGTCGCGATCAAGCGAATCACCATCAGCAAAGTCAGCGCGCTCAGCGAACCGATATCTGGGTGTCGGGCTTTCAGGGGAAGGCGGAGGGTCTTCCGAAGCGCACACGCAGATTCGTAAGGGCATCTCCGAGCGGAGTGCCAGGTTCGGTAGAAGTTGGCTCGCGAGAGGGGAGACGCTCCTCCCGCTTCAGGCCATTGCAAACGTGAAGCTCGAGATTGAGCTCGGAGAAGATGCCGGCAGCTTCGACTACACCTTGTACCTCATGTCGGACTCCTACCAGGCACGGCAAAGGAGCCCTAAGCGCTCTCCAGAGAGTAGCAACCGAGCAAGTGCCATGACAGTAAAGCAGCAACTTCGGCTGCGAATACTCGCGGCATAGCTTCTAGAGATTCCAGTGGTCGGACGAGAGCGAGCCAATGCAGAATCCAAGGTACATGTTGCAAATGGCAACTGAAGAAGCACAGGAACGCTCATAGCAATGGTAATTGCGATGCGTGTAGTAAGCATAAGTCTAAGTAAGAGTCAACAGAGGTGCTGTAGTAAGAAGCGTATGAATGCAAGCACAAGCAATGCAAGCACAGTATTACTAGTAGATCCTTGAGAATCGATCGCAAAGCTAGCATAATAATGTTGAAGGCAGCTGAACCGCAGCAGTCATTGCTAGTAGAAAGTTGGAATATTGACAGATGGGCTACTACAGTGTGAGTAGTGGTGGCAAATTAGTATTGGATGCAGTCGTCGAAGTAGTCATGACAAGAATAGTGGCGAATGATGCCTCTCCGACAGGGCTGCGATCAGGAGTACAACTTCAAGCTCAACGTGAAGGCAATGCCGAGGATTGTCTTTAAGTGAGGTTTGCGATGAAAAAGACCGAAGGTGTCCGGGCAACAAAGTCCTCATGCAAGCTTGTCTTACGAGCTGGTTGGCACTTGATGTGTGCAGTGCCGATGGGCAGGACACACCCATGCTCGTCCTTGATGCGAATTTCCTACAGAACACAAACCTTTGCGTAAGTTCCGAGTGAAGCAGCCAAAGATTTGCGGCCCGCATTTCTGTTTCAGGCGGCTCCATGAGAGGTCGTGCAGCTGTTCGTCACGGCGCACTGACCTCCGAAGACCACGGCCCCTTCCTACCGCCAACATGAAGCTCTGCTCTACGCAGATACGTGTATGACTTCACTCCCAAGAGTTGCTGATCGTATCTTCTGAACTCAGTCTTTCCGACCAGACGTTTTGAGTTTTGTGCGTGCCCAAGCGGATTAAGAAGGGAACAGTCTCACTGACCCGCGGCATAGCCTATGCAAGAGCGAAAGGTGGTGCAATACCGACTCATGTGCATGAGTGATGCGTTAGGCCGTTGCTTCCAGTTTTGGTCAGAATCGGGGGAGCAAAATCTGCGGCTGGCGTCATAGAGCACGTGCACGCCGAGAACTGCTGAAGCTCGAGAGGCGTGAGGCAAGGTAGTTCACGATAGCGTCCAAGCGGTCACATCGGTCACCATGTCGAAGCTTTCCTATCGCTTCACATTCATTGACGTCGAGGAGCTGGATGGGTCGGAAGCGCAGGGCCGTGCAGGGAGGGCGAGGAGCGCCTCCCCCAGCCGCTTCTGGGCTTCCATCGCCCGCCCAGACTTGACAGATGATGAAGTGGCCCAGCAGCATCTCCGCCGTCTGCAAGACGGCCACGAAGCGAACCCAGATCCAGAGGAAGCGCCCACACAAAGCCCAAGTCGTGGCAGTGTGGGGCATCCCACCTTGTGTGCGAAACCATGTATTCAATTCGCACGGGGCCTTGGGTGTCGGAAGGGCCGGGCCTGTGGCAACTGCCACTGGCCTCATCACCGTGTCCAACCCGACAAGCGCCAGCGCGAATTCAGCAGGAGCTTGGGAAGGGAGGAGTTCTTCGGCCTCCTGGCCGTCCTCGCACGGGAGAAAGCGGAACAGGATGGCCTGGAAGATGCGGGCTTCCTGCTTGCAGTGCCTGGGCGAAGAATATCCAAGCTGACCTGCTGTCAGACTGACGTGAGCTTTTGATCCGAGGTGCTGGAGGTGCAGGCAGGGCTGACACCGCCAGCAGCGCCGACGAAGCAAAAACTTCGGCTGCTTTGCAACCTGCGGAAGGTGCCGTGTCAGGGCTGCTGAGGAATGCTTGTGAATGCGAGCATCGTCAGCTTGAGCCAGGTCATTCAGTCCATGAGCTTCTCTGAGATGATCCGGATGGCTGCAGGGCGCTGTGGCGATGCTTGCAAGGCTCGCTTGCTGCAAGAGCTTACAGCAGTGAGAGAGCTCCGTAGGTTGTAAGGGGTCGAGCCTTTGAGCGCCCCGGATGACCAGACTTCCAGCTTGCTTGTCAGCAGGCCGAAATCGGTCGGAAATCTTTGCAACTGGATCTAACTATCTAACCAGTGTCATTTAAGGAGCTTGCTATCAGCTATCCTGCAATGCTGCGTCAGTGCCCTCCTCGATTTTAAGTCCGGTCTGATGCTGATGCTGCTCGACTCACAAAGTCCTGGCGCGGTGCAAGGTGGTGGACTTCAGGGCGCGAGGGCACCGGAATAGTAACTAGCCTCTCGACGACCCGGCCTTGACCACACCTTGCCAGGGCGAACAGAAGAGCATGCCAATCGGCTTTACAAAGCTATCATCACAAGCCCACATTGCCACATGGACCAGATCTGGCTTGCCTACAAGGGGTTGAGGAATCTCTTCAATGATCGCAGCCCCCGAACGACATTAGGCCGACACTGCGTTGAGGATCTGGGGAGACGACAGCAGTGTCCTAGGTCGGAACGGGACCTGTGGCATGGGGCAAAATTTCCAGTATGAGCTCCCGGATATACATCGTCCTACGGAGCATGAGGATGCTTTCGACTTCGTTCTTTCGAGGGCATTTGAGGCCTGTGTCGGCGTTGGTTTAATTGCTTTTAGGTTCGGCATCCTCCCGTCGCCACTGCTCTGATACTTTGTCATCATCTTTTCCAGGAGTCGTGCTTCCTTGCACAGTCTCCGTAACACCAACTGTCCCCTTGTCTGCAAGGCAGCTTGTGTGCAATCTCGAATTTGAAGCTCAGAGCGACCTGATCAGGTCACAGAGCTCGCCAGGTTGTGGCATGTTGCTCTGAACTTTTTCTGGGCCGCAGCGTGATAGACTTAGTACAGCGTTTGTACACTGGCGTCCATTTGCAGAGCGATCGGCGGCCATCGCTGCGACCTGAACACCTCAAGCTGCCCTGCTTCTTGTGCTGATATGGAGACCCGTCTCGGCCAAATCTCAAAACCATACGGTAGATGTTGTCCAGTTGATGGTCCGGTTACTAGCATCAACAGCCTGCCGCGTCGACAATGTGTGTCAACAGCACCTCCGCTTCTCAAATTCGCCACGAGAGGAGTGCAGGCTGTGCCGCGACGTGTCTTCCAGCGCCCCGAGTCGCTTGTTCCGAGAATTTCACGAATCCGGCCACCCAACGACAACAATCAATCATAATCATGTCGAAGCGGTGTGTCACGCATGCGTGACCTTCTGGCCGAGCCTAGAGCAATTCCATTCTGTTGTAAATTCTATCCATGTCGCCCGGAAGATTTTACCTAGGCCTCGGGTCGCCTCTTGAAGAGGTACTCCCGATGTCAGGCCACTGGAGGATGCGACACGAGACGCTGAGAAACGTCTTGGTGCCTGTCTGCAAGTCCGTTGAGCAGTCGATCAGGCAGCACGCATGACATCTAGCATTCGGCAGCTCCGAACCCTGAGCCCTGAGCCCTGAGCGAGCATAGTGAGCGCGGGAGAGGCCTTCGAGCACCATATGTTTCTTGCCTGCCGGCGTTTGATCCCAAGCTGTCCTAGGCACAGCTCGACTGGAAATTTCCCGTAGATTCCCGTAGTCGTAGTTGCAGGAAGAGTTCTCTGGATCAGGGACGCAGTCTTGGTTCGAGCTTTGGCCATCAGGCCCTTGTCGAAGCTTTCGCTTCGAAGGGATCCCGCGATCGCAGTGCTACGTGCCCCCTTCCCGGATTCCCCCACCTCCAGCCCAGTGACCTCCATCCCCCCCGGTAGAAATAGCTCCCTGACTGGCCATCGCCATGGCGCCAGGCGAAGGCCCGAAGCGCAGCTCCGCTCTTTTGCAAGGGAGTCGTCAAAAGTGCCCTTAGCTTCAGGACAGCAGTGCTTTTCCGAGCTCCTCCGCTGCCACAAAGAACTCGCCGGCTCCCTTGAGGCCCGAGGGGGTGGAACCCGCCGAGTTCCTTTGGGCATTCGGGGTTTCAACGTCCGCTCGCCCGGGGCCGGAGCCCGACATGCGCACTCGGCAAGCGCGCCAAGTAGAAGCGCGACTCGCGCGAAAGGGGATGTGCGCAAAGCTCCTTTGGATCAGAGGCTGCGAGCTTCATTTGAGGTCCGATATCATGTCGAATCGGCACCATTGAACTACTCATGACATCTAAGCCCCACCTCCAAACGTATGCTCCGTTGCGGTATGCTACATGTATGGGAGGCCTTGAACCGGACCTATGGCAGCATCAAAGGCGCTCTGGAGAAGATGCCAAGTCTTTGGCCGGAGCTCGGCCCGCTGGAGGAGAGACGATCCTGGAAGAAAAGCCAACCCCAAAGCCAACTTTAGAAACTGTACTGCTGGAAGCCCTGTAGGATCTGCCACGCGCAGAGTTTGCTGTGTCCTCGCCCTCCCATGCGGCTCGGCTGAAGAGTTGGTGTCGGAAGACACAGGACGCTCGGAGTTCGACCCAAGGTTCCGGCAAGTTCGTTGGGAAATCGCTGCTTTCGTTCTGTGTTGTGAAGGTCAAGAACAAGGTCGAGATCGAGGAGAAATTCCAGCTGACCAAGGAGGGAGTGCCGACACTGACCAGGAGCCTCACTTGCGAAGTCTAGGACTCCATAGGTCACGTCGTGGATGCCGGCTGACCTCTGTCCACACTTCCAGAGTCAGATGGTTGAAGTCCGAGCTAAGGAACTTGAACGCCCGCAAGACCCCCTTTGCCAAGATTCGAACGGGCACGGTCTCGTTGGGCAAGTCAGGCATCTCGTCGGCTATGCTGCTCCGCTAAGGGACTTGTCTATACTGTCGTTGCCTGCAAACAGAACCAGCACAAGCGATGCCTGCCGGCAGGGGCCGCACCTTGTTTACTCTTTTTATGTTAGAGCTGAGTGAGTAGACTTAGTGAGTGAGCAGTCAAACATGGCGTTCGGGCCGCCAGCTATGGCTGTCAGGCAGATGGTTTGGATTCAGTGCAGTGTTCAGCTGCAGTTGCTAGACACAAAGCCTACGCTGAGGAGTCCGAGCCGTAATCCTGTATGCAATTCTCCCGTGACGCCGACGATTTGAGGCGTCCGACTCCTGGACGACTGGAGCGAGAGCTTCGTCATCTGCGAGCAGGACAGCCCGCTGGTGTGGTTGCAGTCTTAAGGCAAGCGGCCTCTAGCTTCTAGAGCTTGGGAACATATTGCGAGCGTGGGTGATTCTGGCCTTACGCTTTTCGGGGTCTAAAGTGGGGCACACCATGGGCCTGAGCGCTCGGTAGGCCCTGGGCCTCGGGAAGAGCTGAGTTGCTCCGCGACAGGAAGCCACGAACATCTACACCAACCTCTACGGCCGCCTGGTGAGAACTCCTCGGGCCGGCTTTAGCATGCCAAAAGCCTCCAGCTATTTCAACACGGGATGGTGGGCATGCGAGTCCAGGGCAATTTCTGGCGTCTTTCCCAATCCGCGCCCGGATATGCCCGGATCAAGGGAGCGTGAGAGTTTCGAGATGGGGGTTTCTCAGGGTGCCGCCGTGCAGAGCTGAACCTTCAGGTTCCCACTTTCCCCATCCTGCAACGCAAAGTGTGGCATATCCTTCTGCGCCCATCAGCCAAGCGTTCCGGAAGGTCCCATCGCCCTCTGGCTCCGATTCGGTAACTTCACCCGAAGCCCCCTAGTCGATGCTGAGCCCAGGCGAGAAACACCAGAGTAGCAAGCAGGCGTTCTCCAGCGTTCGGACCGCAACCGCAAGGGTCTTTTTGCATGCATCTGCACGTGGCCCCCCCGATGTCCGAACTGCTACTGCATTACTGCATTATGGTTGAAGTTTGACTCATGTGGAAGAGACGAGTTGAAGATGGTTCAAAAGGCAAAGCTTTTGCTACAGAGTCCGTCTCAGAGCCTCATGCTTCACAGCTACCTCGCAGGAGCAGTGTGGTCCGGAAGATTGGTAGGGAGATCTGCAAACGAGCCGCGGCTCAACGCTGGGGATAGAGTGTTTCTGTAAGAAAGGGTTCGTAGTACGATCCCAACAAGCTGAAAGTTGCGAGATGTGAGGAGAGACCTTAGTCTCGAGCTGGAACTACATCTGGGAGATTATCACCCTGGTGCTCGTCGTTTTGGTCCCTTGGAGCAGAGGCAGTCCGGGCTGAGTCTTCGACGGGTCTCGGGCTTCAAGTGTTGCGGATATGTCGCCGAAGCCTCGCTGATGGGCCGTTGGCATGTCCGAGGACACCATATTGATTCCGATTACGCTGGCGTGGCCCGACTCGGCACTTTCGCCGAGCCCGACCTTCTTCTACTTCCAGGCCTCCGGAAGCAACGGATTCGAAGTCTTTATGTTGAAGATGTTTCTGATGAGGCTTTTCCCTGTAGGCAGGGGCTTTCGAGGGACCCTTGAAGTCTGAGGCAGACTGCGCAGAAGCAGCAGCAAGTTAGCTGGAAAGCCCGGGCTCCTGTCCTCTACTGGTACCAAACCTCAATCCAACAGAGAGCCACGAAGAAGCTCTAAGTCCGCAAGCTTTCGCACAGCCTTTAGCCCAGAGCCCGAAAGCCCTCGACAGCGCTGAGGCCCGGGGCCACTCGGTGCACTGCGACAGCTCGAGGAAAAGATCAGAATACAGGAGTAGGACCAAAACATCCACGAACACAGCCCTTGCTCATCAGAATCACAGTTCCAAGAAAACAGGGAGCAGGGCGAAGCCAAGAGAAGCATTATAGGCCTTGTCAGTCTGAGAAGCGACCCTTCAGGCCGGGCCCTTTCTTTGGAGCTTCGACATTCTCATGAGCTTTGTCCCGGAACTTCGGCGTCATTAAAAGGGAGGATGAGTCAGTATTGAGGGTTGGAGGCTTCTCATCTTGGGGACTTCTCATCTTGGGGACAGCAGTACAGAAGGTCGCAGCCCCAAGATTTCGCTCACATGCAGTACTGCAGTATCATGCAGTCATCCGTCCGACCATGCCATGTGCCCGAGGCATCTTTAGAGAAGGAACTTCCGGCCAAGCCGCTGGGCTTTGCTTTCCGCTGGGCTTTGGGGAGGGCTTAAGCTGGGGAGCTGAAATTTCTGGAGCTCCCGGGAGGCGCAACAGGGAACCGAAGCAAGGAATCACAAAGCGCCTCCAAAGACACCTTAAAGAGTGAAAGTGGGGAGTTGCCGATACTGGGAGTTGGGACTGCGAGCGCATCGGAGGCTGCAGATGGCCAGGAAGTATGTGTGTGACTTCTGCTGCACTGGCGATGCTTCGGGTCCAGTTTGCGAGGCTTCGGGTCGGTCCCGCAGCCTTCCGTCATTTCGAGCATGGTCGCAGATGGTTCGGGATACCCACACGATGCGTAGAAGACTTCGAAGCAACGGGGTGAATTGCAAGTCGCATGCACGAACGATGAATTGCATGAGCAAAGACTGGTTCATCGAGAACCTGGGCCGCCGGAAGCACTGCGCGAACATGATTTGACTGCTCCAAGCCCTGTCCGAAGTGCCTGTCAAGTTTGTGTGTACAAGATCTCGTCTATACGACTCCAGAAGCATGAGGCCTGAAAGTGAGCTCGGAAAGCCGAAATATGTCCAAGACGACGGAGACATCCAAGCATTTTCCCCCCGTGTGCTGCGCGAATGGGCATTTCATGAGGTTCCAGATTCCCGATCGATGCTCGGGCCTCGGAGCAGAGCGGAGATGGGTTCGGCGGCCAGTAGCTCCAGTAACCCCAGAATGTGAGTACTGTCACCTTGAAGCTTATACAATAACTACATCATACCACCGCATCAATCCACAGTGTCGAGAAGCTCTCCTTGCTCACCTGCAATCCATCATCCGGCGTTGAAGTAAGCACCTCACGCCCATGCGACCAGGTGTCCCTGGTAGTCTTGGACGTCGTTCTGCTCTTGGGCGTGCTGGAGGATGCCCCCATCCCCTGCCGAAACACGAATGCATGCATTTTCCCAGTTGCGAGGAGCACTTTCGCATCTTCACCTTGCTGCGGCTGATTCGGATCCTGAAGCTGAAGAGAGTCGCCGAGACTATGATATTCTGCGTTCTTCTGTTCCGACAATTTGGGTGGTCGCCGAAGCTTGCAGGATCACAAGGGGGTCTAGCAGAGTTGTGGGACGAGCTAGTGGCAAGCACGACATCACTGCCACACTCGGTTGCTTGCATGGGCCTTCCAGATGTTTGGCGGCGAGCACCAGCTTTCAGAAGCTCGGCATCACTCGAGGTGCTCACGGTCTTCGAGAACCGCCTCGTTGCCGCGGGAAACATGCTGCCTGGTTGCTTCGGGTCCCTGTTCTGTCGTTCCGCACGGGGCTCTTTTGCAGCCGCAGGCGCTCATAATCATTGTTCTGCAGCGAACTCTTCCCGGCTAAACTCAGGAAAGCTGTGCCTTACCTGACAATTCTCCAGTGCATCGCGACGGTGTGGCGCGGCCGCAAGCACGAGTCTCTTCAGGCACATTCGCCAACAGCCTTCGTTCAGCATATGCCAAGACGCAGAAACATCCTCGTCAATGCGGGGAAGCATGTCGCCCCTGTTTCCATTGACCGATACAATCGCCCAAGACCACGCCCAAAGACCTCAGGCTCGCGGTCAACCACGTGCTGGCGTCCTTGCTGTTTTATGTCGGCCGGATGGGGACTCGCATTGAAGCCACGAGCATCCGGGCTGATCTTGAGATTCCTAACCGAACAAGGCCTGAAGGGCAGCGCCTGCTGCAAAAGTTCATTAACGCAACACGACGCTGCTTGGACAGCTGACGCGAAGCGTGTGGGAGGCTAGGAACGGCCAGTGATGAGCTTTGCCCTCTTGAGAACAAGCCAAGCCTTTGAAACAGGTGCCAAAGGCCTTTCGCTTTTGTGTTTCCGGCTTGAAGGTTTGAAGACCATCTCAAAGGGATCCAAGTTTTGGGGAGCTACGACGCTAGGCGGCTAGTTTCTTCAGGGTTTCGGGCAGCGAGCTGGCCCGACACAGGGCAGTATGTCAAGCCATCAAAACTACAAAGCGTGTGCAGAGGCAACTGGGTCGATTTTTACGAGATGTCCTTCCGAAGTCCACTCTCGCAGTATATGCACCATGTCTGCAGTGGGTCAGGTTTCGGCGCACATTTATTTCATTGAACGGTTTAGGGCTGACGGATTTCAGGGTGTCTGCCAGTGTCGCACAACGCGAAGCTCCCGCTCGCAGCAAGAGATTCGAGCCATCGCCCAACAAAGCACAGGGTCTTCAAAGCATCTTCAGGACCTGCTTCAATTGGGTAATCGCTGAGTATACGCCGGCGCCCTTCCCCAACCAGCCGCAGAATGAAGTGGAGCAGTTGCTCATCATTGTGGCTCAGTTGGACTTTGGCTGTGGGTCTTGGAGTTTCCGTTGACAGATGCCGTGGACGCCTTGGGGGAAACGCGTTAGCATGACATGACCCAGCCCTGGCCATGCCGTCTCAAGTCGTGAGGTGATCATCCTTACCTGTCTGCCCCTCTTGGGCGCCCAGATCGGCAAGATCGGTGGTACGCTGTCACCTGGCCTGAATTGCGGGGAGGTTGTCGGATTGGCTCTCGAGATGGTTGCTACTCCGCCAGATTCTCCCTGACCCCCTGCCGAGGAACACGATGAAAGAGAAGGCACGTGCCAGGTCCTCAGTCCTAGCCCGCCGCGCCTTCCGGCTGCGCCGCAAGAGACCAGATGCACAAATGCAAAGGAGCGAGACATGGTTCGGCGAGTCCGGGGCTTGGTGCTCCAGGGCAGGGAGCTGACGTCGTCGGGTGCACCAGTCGAGGTCTAGGTCCTTTGTTCAGAAAGCCAGGCAGCTGAACCAGAACGCAGTCAGCTCTGCAGTCTCATAGTCGGAGGACCTCCAGCGGTTCCTACAACGCAAGAACGCCCCAACTCGGCTGACCCGGCTGCCTGGCGGGCATTGAGAGACAGCCCTTCAGCGCTCTTGCCAGTGACTTTGTGCGTTTCAACGAGCTCTGGGCAAAAAGTGCGGAGTTCCTCAAAGCCTCAAAGGCGAATGCTGACGTCACTTGACGATGTTCTGGACTCCAAGGCACGGCTGGGGGGCAGCGCTACCTAGTACCTCCTTCCCGAGCCTGAAAAACACGTTGGAACTCCATTCCGAAGCCCAAGATAAACACACAACGCTCTCTGAAAGGAGCATTTTTCTTGCAAGGCTCACTCAAAGGGGTCTTCCCTGAGGCCCCCTCAGAGATGCTCGCGTCAGCAGAGTTACTGTAGCAGTCACAGACGGGACCCAGCGACGAGGACTCGCCCCTGAACGTGAAGGAGCCGATCGCCTTGAAGCTCCCTGCTGAAAAGTCTGGAGCAGTGGGTTTGTTTGGGTCATTGAAGAACTCCAGGCCGCCAGGGGCCTTTCCACAGTCCGTGGTGTCGGGTTTGCACCATTCTGCTTCGTTTGCTCCTGGCTGGAGTGAGTGACTTTGTGGATCATTGACGGACACGAAATTCAGCAATACAAGCAGCGTGTAGCCTGTCCAAGGTTCATTTGGCTCACCTTGATTGACAAACCTTCTAACCCTTCTCTGCAACTAGTGAAACATAGCATTTCGAGCTTGCTGAAACACGGGCGGCATGATACTGACAGGTGTAGGATAGATCCCAGCACTTAACGTCCAGATTTTGGAACGGAGTTTGCAAGAGGGGAACGGGTGCTCAGAAGAGACTGACTGTGGATTTTCGAGGTTCCTGCCCAGTAGCCTCCTCGACGAGCTCCGGGTCGTAAAGATGAGCGAGAAGTGGCTCGGAGGGATTTCAGGTTAAGCAGGTCGGGGCTTATCGTCATCCTACTGGTATGCGCAGTCCTAGCGAGACCTCAATCACATTCGGCCAGTGGACTTGGCACACATCCATTTGATGAGGCTTGTTGTGAGGTAGTTTTCTTCGGTTTCTCACACTGCTCAGTTGACAAGGTTTGAGTTTGAATGGTCCGCGAAAGTTCTACCAAAGTTCCTAAAAGCACTTGTGTGCAGCACCGTATGATCGAATCATTTCCTGTTCTGCCGTCTCTGAAGCAGCTATGTCTGCTCTCGAGCTGTGCTCAGTCAGGTCGCAGAAAATGTCTGCTTGCAGGGTTTGTGCTGCTTGCCTGTAGATCTTCCAGATGCACAATGCCAAAGAGTCGGCACCACTGTTCAGCCCCAATGGACGACATTTTTTTATGTAAGGTTGTAAGTTCAAGGTTCAGGATTGAGGATTTAAGCATGGTGCGAACCCGCGAAAGCTGCGCGATAGAAGCTGCGAAGGCTCAGCCTCGCCTACAAGACAGTGGGAAATGATAGTTTGAAGACACTACCTTTTCGTGAGGCTGTAGACGGGACACCAGAAGCTAAAACGAATCGAGATCCTTTCGCCAGTTCACGTTCCGACAGGTGTAGGGTGGCTCCAGCAATCCAGCATCTCCCCGTCAGAACACCAATCCCGCAAGCTCCGCAAGCTCCTCGCTGTATCCTTATGAATCCTGACGCTCAGCCTGAACCCGAGATGTTCGAGCCATTCAAAGGCTCGACGCCCACATGCTCTTCTCGATGCTCATGGACGACCTTCGGCCAAGCTAACGGTTTGGTCGGTGAAGCCTAGAGGGGGAGGAAAGAAATCTCAGGTTGAGGTTAAGCCCTTGGGCATGGCAACAGTGCCGAGTCCCTGCCTGCTAGGAGCGTCTGGGGCTTGCTGGTCGCCTCAGCGCCGTGTTCCGGGAAGTCAACGCGGTGCCGGGGTCAGGGTTGAGCAGCAGAGCATCGAGATTTCTCAGAACTGGAGTCTTGATGCCATGATCCTGCAGCCAGGAAGCCCCGCATGGCCGTTTCAGCAGCGAGTTAATTTCCTGTGATCCGTGTGTGTTTTTGGAAGTGCTTCTGCGATGCAGCTCCCTAGTGACCCTAGTGGAAAGTTCGGTAGAGGGGAGAGAGAGAGTTGCTGAATACGGCTGAACACGGAAATTCGCAGCCTTGCGTCAACAGTCCTCAGATGTGCCCACTTCCACCTTCCACTGCAAAAGGTGCAGGGGGAGAACGTCTTCACCAACGGGCGGCCGGGTGAAGGCGCGTCCGGGAACTTGTGCCGAGCGCGCCGCACACAAAGGCGAGACATTGGGTTCGTCAGACTGTCGGAGCGACAGCATGGAAGCCGTGCTCGCCAAGTAGCACACCTGTCAGCTGAGACGCGGAGAGGCCTCTACATTACACAGAGCGGGCGCTTCGCCCTGAGCCAGTCGAAGGGCGCCGCGAGGGAGCGCTGAACGTGCAGTCGCAGAGTGAGGCTCTCTCTTTCAGGCCTTGTTAACACGATCGCTGAAAATCGGCTGAACTCCGCGACACCAAGTGTGAATTCAACCTGCAGACGAAGTAAGCAGCTACCCTCTTCAGTCGTAGTAGTACACGACGGGCTCTCTGCCGTTGAACCCACTTTCGCTGCAGGAGAAGTCGACCATCGCTGCTATCCAATCTGAATCCGGGACGCACTCGACATCAGGCTCGCACCGCACAGCCACGTTATCTTTACAAGACGGTGTGTCGGAGCGTGGTCCAGAAAGGGCTCAGGGTGCTCCGTTTTGGACGTCTTGCGTTCCCTGTTCGGTCGACCGTGGAGGGGGATGGACTAGTTAAGTGCAGTTCTTGAGACGTGGCACATAGGAAGTGCGAGTGCAGAGACGCCCAATGCTGCGTCGCCAAACACGTTGAGAGCGCAGCAGCTTGCATCCTTCACCCGACCTGTTAGCCATTGTGAGCACTGCAGTCGCAACTGTGAGGCATGACGATCCAGCAAGACACATGGCTTGCCGTGGCCGCCTGAGTTTCAGCGAAAGAGCTAGTGCATGATACTTTTGGCTGTTTGTTGTGGGCGTCTGCAAGGGTTGTACAGCTTTCGTGACTCCTAACTGTATTTGGTGTGTCTGGGAGCACGCAAAACACGCAAAAAGCGCACTCTCACAGTGTCCCGTTTTGTAAATAGACATATGAATACACATACATATGTATGTATGTATGCATGTATCACATACGCACGTACATATGTACATACATACAAGCATACAGACATGCGGACATACAAACATACAGATATACATACACATATATGTATATGTGCATATGTGTATATGTGTAAATGTGTACATGCGTACATGCGTACATGTGTATATATATATATATGTATATGTGTATATGTGTATATGTATGTATGTACAGATGTACATATCTACATATGCATATATGTGTTTATGTTTGTATGCATATATTAATGTATATATGTATATATGTATTCATAAGTGTCTCGGCCCGATTCGAAGACCTCCCTTTTCTGACCTCAGCTCTTCATGGGCAGCTCGCGATGCCTCGCTCTCTTGCTTCGAGCCCTTCAGACCACTCTTCTTCTAGCTCTTCTGATAACAGCTCGACCGCCCGATCCGCCGACAGCTCGAGCACGAAGCGGGCACGAGCCAGGGCCAAAGCTGCTGCGCTTAGAGCAAAGGAAGCCAGAAGAATGGCTCGACTGCTGGCGTGGTTTACCAAGAAACTCGTGGTCATGCTCTGTGAACAACTACTGGAAGCAGAGTACAAAAGCGAGGGAAGAACCACCCGACAGGTGGCTGGCATGCTTTCTTCGTTGCGACGCAGATCGCAAAACATGTCGCCACTGGAGGTCGTTGCGGTCACCCGTCCGAGTCTGTCAGGGGACCCTGCTCAAGGCCTGCAAGCCGATTCCAGCCGACTACTGGCTATGCTGGAGACGCCCATTCCGGACAACGACTATACATGGATGTTCTCGGATAAAGTGGGAAATATTGGAGACCCCACGCGTCAACAGGTACAACAGCACCTGCAGCTATTGCTGGTACGTGGACTGGCCAGAAGCTTGCATACGCCGGAACCGGAGCGGTTTGTTCAACAGGCAGTGGTCTATGCCTCCTTCGGCTGGTATGTGGAATGCCTCTGGCTTACTTGGCACCTACTGTCTGACGACGACAGACGAGCCTTCCAGAGATGGTACCACCGAGTGCCCACCGATTCTCCGGATGCCATCGAAGACCAGCTCCCGATGGAACTGGAGGATGCCGAGGAAGCGGACAACGAACCGGAGCCTGCACCTGGGTCTCGAGATCCACGGCCCCCTGTGCGGCCAAGGCAGCCCCAGGGCGATGAGGAACCTCAAGAGGTTGGGCCGCGTCGGTCCCAAGTCCGACGACAACCGGGGGCATCCTGAGCCTCCCTGGACGTGTCATGTTACTTGGAGTTCAGCCACCACGAATCTTGACTTGCATTGGCATGCCCCGGTTGTAGACACGAGGGTTTGGGGACACCTAGGTCGGGGACCCCATGAAGTCCACACAACATGCTTCTCAAACTTCAATAGGAAGGCGAAGCTTTACGACCCAGTTAATGTACAGCTGCAGGCCACTAGCCAAGCTACAGCACCGACTGCAGCAACACACGTCAACAGACACCACGAAATACCCCCAGCTGACCAGCTGGGCTCAGGAGCCATTTTGTATCCGATCGCCTACAGAGTCGACCAGCCTAGCCAACAGGCCGGGCAATGCCGTCAGCCCCAGCAGATTGCCGTGGCATCAGTCCTTGTGCTAGGACTCCTGCACATCGCTCTCAGCCTTACTAGCACAATACACATAACCTCCTGGAATACCACAAGATTGTTTCCAGGATGCTACCGCCGCCGCCGGTCAGTGAATCGTGTCACCGCCTGCTCGGCTCTGCTCTGGCATCCGTTCCGCACTGCAGTCTTCGGCAACCGCTGCACAGCGCCCATACCCGGTACCCACCCTACCTTTCAGGTTGTAGGCCTCCAAACTCCCGCTAGCTCCGCAACCAATCTGAGGGTGTATAAACCTAGTCCCACACCCAGGGCCCACCCTAAGCTTTTCATTTTTCTGATGCTTTGTACCCTCACAGAAAGAACAGATGCAGCCCACAGATCCCCGATAGGCCCCGCCGTAGCTCCAGATGTAACCTCTGTACCCCTAGCTGACACTGCAGCTAAGCCAGGACAATTCGTGCACACTCTTTCGCAGGCGCGGAAGCGCTCTTTTCGCCGGGCCCAGGCCAGAGCGGTGCAGAAGGGCAGCACATGGTATAGAGGTAGGCTGCATACCCCGACGAGCTTGTCGGCCAAAGCAGTATCGTACAAGCCATTAACAACCCGTAACACGCAGTCTAGTAATAATCCCCCATCGCTGGACACACGCTCACACTTTGGGATGGCTAGCTGGAATTGTGGGGGTTTGCATTCAGTTCGGTATCAAGAATTCCTTCGATGGATCTCGGACGAAACTTCCACTGAGCCCCGAGTACTACCTCGGTCGTGTTCCACTCGCCCGGCGATACAACTGGTATGTGTGCAGGAAACGCACTGGCCTCAAAGCAGTGAATACAGTAACGAGCACTGGACGTTTGTACACTCAGGTAGTGGCACAGCAACAGGTGGCATACTCTTTGCAGTTTCCAAGCATCTAGTTCCGTCCTCTGGTGTTCGATATGCCGAGCTCATACCGGGTCGCTTAGTTCACTTAAGATTGGAAACTCAACCTCCGGTTGATATCTTGGGGATCTATCAACAGGCCTGGAATGAGCACAGCATCGCCACGCGTCAATCGGCTCAGGGTGCTGTTGCAGAACTTTTGCAACAAAGAGCAGTCATCTGGACGGCCATGAGACAGTGGCTACATTCCATACCATCCAGAAACTCTTTATATCTCGCTGGTGATATGAACTGCACCCTGCCGCCCATGCCACCGCATGTTGGATCAGGGGTTGCTCTAGGACAGAAGAAACACCCCGATTCCCATAAATTAGCTGGCCTGCTCCGCGACTTTGGCCTGGTAGTCCTTAATTCCTGGGGTAAAGCCGGGCCTCCCTCAGCAACCTTCCTTCAGCCGCCTCGCCCTGGTACGCAACTAGACTTTATCTGTGCCAGACTGCCGGGCACCCCCTTGGCCCGTACAGCCTCTGCCTGGTCGAATGAACCGATTGTTCACCCTACGGGTCTCCGCCATGTTCCGGTGATAGCTCAAGTCCCTAGGCCCACTGCCCCGAAAAAGCCTATCATTAGCAGAACTACACCCACACAGGTACGACAGTCATTAGATGCATCGCCTGAACTGGCGTCCGCCTTCAACCATTACCTTGCGCTAGCACCGATTGACGATCAAGCAATTGACTCGACAATCTGCCAGGCCTGGACCAAAGCCAAACAAACCCTTCCGAGCCACACAGCACGGCAAGCACCTGTATGCCCCCATCCATCATCCCATGCTAACCTCAAAACACTATGGAGCCTGAAAGCCGAACTGCGGCAGAGCCAAGAGCAGTGTCAATCGTTTGTGGCACCGCTGCTGAGCATGATCTCCACATTCAGCCCGGCCAACATATGGGAGCATCAGACATCCTCGGTATGCAGATCACTACGGAAACTATTCGACCTTTGGAAGCACAGCCACTCCTTTGACAGGTGCAATAAGACCATCAGAGCCAGAGCAAGGCTGCACAAAATCGAGAAAATCGATGCTCTCATACAGCAGACGTCAGCTGCCTCCAAGGCTGGATTCACGGGGTTGCATCAGCTAATCAATTTCATGCGACCGAAAACACCACGTCGCAGCATACACTTTCGTGCACAGAATGGTTCGCTGATGTCTCAGGCTGAGGAACTTCAAGTCACCACGACCTTTTTCCGCGACTTGTATCATGACCCCACCTATGCCCCCACTACATGGTGCTTGGAAGAAGACTTTAACATCTCCCTGGATGAAACCTTTCATGCCATCCGTTCATTATCGACGAGAAAAGCTCTTCCCAAGCACCAGATGCCTGCTGTACTGTGGAGACTTGCCGAGGCTGATCTGGCCCATCGTGTTTGTACACGTCTCAATGCAGGTTTGAAAACCGGCCCCATCAGTCTCCCTGAGGACATTCTAAGATCCTACTTGGTCCTTCTGGCAAAACCGGGTAAGCCACCATGTAAGCCAGCTAACTTAAGGCCCATCAACTTACTTCCGGCTGAAGCTAAGATCTTGGCTAAAGTAGCAGCGGAGAGGCTCCGGCCTTTTCTCACCTCGGCACTCCAGCTTATTCCCCAGTTCGCGTATGCATGCGGCAGGCAAACAGGGGATGCATTGGAACGTGTACTGGCACACTGCCACAGAGTCCGCTCGGCGCTTCAAACACATAAACACGACATCTTCAGCAAGAGATCAGGTCACAAACAACCTGGATTTTGTGGAGGCATGCA